TTACTGTGGGGGTTTACTACGCTAGATGGTCCTCATAGATGGTAAAGTCTCAAGTGCAATGTCTTAGCAGTAGTTTACCTTCTAATAGGTTTAGGCTGATTGGAGACGTTCATAGGCTCACAGGTATATAAGGTTCTAAGGTAAAGTTCGATTCCTCAGTGAATTTGACGTACTGGTGAGTGATCTCTGGGTAACTGGGTTGGTTACTTATAATAAAGGAAGGATCCCAGTACCCTTAGTAGCTTACTGTTCTGATAGTCACTGCTATACTACTGGGGGACTTACAACTATGGTAAGCTGATACAGTAATTGCAGCCTGTAGTGGACTTTAAGTGAGGCCATATTAGTAGTCTTAGTATTGCAGTACCTCTAAGCTAACTATCATGGAAGGACTTCTAGATGTCTGCTCCATTATATCTGCCATACGTGGGTGGTTGCTCACTTCTGACAGGTGCTAGTAGGTAGCATAACTGTGTTAGAAACCCTGCTGCACTACGATCCATTCTTGTGTGGGTATAAACTTGGATCGTCTTCCCAGTGTGGTATATAGGGGGTAGGAAGGATGAACATCCGGTTACTTCTAAATAATTAGAGTAGGTTGTTTGGTTATCTGTTGCTTAACGATAGGAGTATATTACTGCAACTGGAGTTGTAATGCTCCCTTCACATAGCTTTGGTGAGCCGGTTATGCTGATATCTCCTAAAACATAAAAAAAAAAAAAAAAAAAAATCTATTATGATACCATCTTTTATATGATATTTTTATTATACTTTTATAAACATTTATAACTATTCTTTTATAGCACTTGTATATATAGAAATACATAATCATCCATCCCAACACTTGAAAGGATTCCTTCTGAAATTAAGAATAACTTAGAATCTTTAATTATTCAAGCTATTCAACAAGATGATAATGTTACTTCAAGATCAATATTATCAGGTATAAAATATTAATAAGATTATTATTTATTATTATCAATTAATAATTAATTTAGTTTTGATATCTATATCTATACTATATAATAATTGTTTTTGTGTGTAACCATAATGTTTAGACTACACTGTATAAATAAATTTGAATTGCGTAATATCACTTCCATTGGGCACTTTATCACGTGACATTACACGAACTTCCAAAAAAGAAATTTTGCTTCCCACAAAAATAGGGAATTTTAGTTTCACAAATACTCTAAAAAAGGAAATTTTGCTTTCCAGTTCCCACAAAAATAGGAAATTTTAGTTTCACAAATACTCCAAAAAAGGAAATTTCTGCACTGATTATATAATTCTGGCCAGAATTAATTGTTACACACTTTTTTTATATGTATGTATACCATTGCAAAGCAACGGATTAACGGCTAGTATTAAACTAATAGAAAATCTATTCAGTACTTATTTTAATAAAGAAATATTGGCAGAAGTTTATGTTTCTTTCAATAATATAGACAAGTTATGATACTTAGTAAGAAAAGCATACAAGATTTTGCATCCTTTTGGACAAGGAGTTATAGGAATTTATCATGATATATTAAATCCCAAATCAGATTTAATAAATTATGTTTGCAAAATTGGTAAATTTTTTAAAATTTTATTACATTATTCAAATAATGGCCAAGTAATTATTACTTGTATGCTTGATAATCAGGCTAAAAAATTAATTACACTTGATTATTTTCAAATTAATGTCAGTTTTAAATGAGTAAATGGAGAGATAAATGAATTTAAAATTAACATGTATAATTCCAAACATCACCTGAATAAGTAAAATTTTTATTTAAATTAATCCCATCATGAATTATAAATGATATACATTAATGATGTTACTAACCATAGTTTTTTTTTTTTAAGTATTGTCATTTTGTCGTATATTTACTAATGTTTTTACTGCTGAAGGGTATCATAGGTTATTCTCATCTTTATTCCAAATAATTCGTGAAGTAAGTGGTCAATCTATTCAATTTTGACATATTCATGGAAGTGGTATTGGATGTATTCTGGCTGATTTGGACGCTGCACAGGCTAAGGGGTTAGGATTAGCATTATATGATTTGGATCACGAAAAAAGTTGGGAAACACACTTGACATTTATTTTGAAAACATGCCTTGTACACTTTGAAAGGTATTTATAAATTTATTGAATAGTTATCTCTTTTACTTTTAATTTAATTAATTAATTTTTTTTTTAAAAAATTTATTTCATAAAACATTTACTATAAGCACGAAAAATTTAATACGACAAATTCCTAATGCAACTAGTAAAGAACAAGTTCATGATCTTCTGCAACAAATAGAAGATACAAATGATGAAGGAATAAAAGGTATATTATTTATTTATTTTAGAAGTTTAAAAGAATTAATATAAATTTTTAAAAATGTTTTTTCTTATAGAATGGTTGAATTATTATCAACAATCATATGTTTTATCTTCATTAAATAAATACGTTTCAAATGTTGATCATGAGATTTGGAATAAAAGTGGATCAGATACTAATAATGCTGAAGCGGCCCATTACATGGCTAACAGAGAAGGAAAGCAATTGAAGTTATTATCAGCCATTTTAAAGTTAGTTTAAGTTTTTTTAATTACCAAATTACATTTAATATTATGAATATTATGTATTAATTATAAATAATTTAAAGAGGAAAAAGGTACGATGCAAGGTGTTATACAACGATTGAAGTTCATGACAAAAATGGAGTACCTTATACTCATAGAGACAAAAGTGATGTTAAGAGATTACAAAATTCAATTGTACGCAAAAGTAAGTAAAAACATTATTTATCAATTAATTTATTTATTTATAAAAATTTTTAAAATTTTTTTATAATATATAGCATCTCGTATTCAAAAGAATAAAGTATCTCTTAATGATAAATNAGTACCTTACACTCATAGAGACAAAAGTGATGTTAAGAGATTACAAAATTCAATTGTACGCAAAAGTAAGTAAAAACATTATTTATCAATTAATTTATTTATTTATAAAAATTTTTAAAATTTTTTTATAATATATAGCATCTCGTATTCAAAAGAATAAAGTATCTCTTAATGATAAATTACCCAAGTCATCAAAAAAAAGAAAATTATCACCTTCTAATAGTAGAACACCTATTAGATCAAAGGAAAATCATGAAAGAGCTGAAAATATTTTATCAGACAATGAAGAAGAAACATTTTCTAAAGAGATTCATAAAAAAAATCTCGAGTTAGAACTTAAAGAGAAGGAAATTATATTAAGGGAGCGTGAAATTAAAGCACGAGTAGCTGAGGCTGAAGCACAAATGATGGAAGCTAAAGCCGAAGCATTAGAAATAGAAAATCAACAAAAATGTTAAAAAAAAATATATTTAGTTTTTTTTGTTAAATTTATAATAATACGTTTATAAATCATAATAAAGAAAATATAAATTGCGTTTACAGTTCTAATACATGAAAAAAATTTTTTTTAAAAAAAAAAATCAAAAACGTGAAGTAGTCAGTAGGGATTTTTTTTTATAAAAATTTCCGAATTCAATGTATAGTCACGTGAAATTTTATTTTCATACATACATACGTTTTCTCTAATTATATAATTTAATAAAAAAGTATGTATGTATGAAAAGTACACCGTATACCATACATTGACCACCATACATACATACATAGGAATCCATACAGTACATGTTTCCGTCACACCTGTTACGCGTGTATACAGTGCATCGTGAAAAATTTTCATGCAAAAATAAGTCTTGTCCAATGGATTTCGGTGGATGATTAAACCAATCATATTTAAGGAGGGTCTAGGATAAGAAGCCTGAACCCCGGGGGTCTAGAATAAGAAACCTGAACCGGGGGTCTAGGATAAGGACGCTCCTTATTTATATAGGCGGTTTACCATAAAAAATTTACTATCACGTGACGGTGAAAATATTCATCACAGGCATCACACCCAACCCACCGCGTTTTCACTGTTTAAGAGATTATCAGTAACTGATAAATAGATTATTTTGTTATTCTCCAAGCTACGAGACAATTGAAAATGACTTTTACCGACGACAAACTCCTTGCAGCCCTGTACTATCCGGGTAAGCTCTGTTTTTCATCATTATTATTAGGAGAGTAACTTTAGTCTTCTTATTACTGTCTTTCAGAATACTGGAACCGTAACCCAGCCTCATGGGGGAGTATAAGTGATTGGGACATTTATTACATCAATCAAGTTCCTGGATGTAGTAAAGGACAAGCGCACAGAACACTGGGTTTTGAACTCAAAGTCCTCCTTCAGCATTTACGGGACGGAAGCTGAAAGCGGCTGCTTTAGAGAAATCATTACAAGTTAAGAACGCTTTCTTTACTATGTCTACCACGCCCGGCAGTTGTTAACTGAGCGATCTTATCGCACAAGGCAAGATGTTTCTTGCCTGAAGTGGGAAGTGTGTTATGGTGATGGATCTCATAGGTCCATCATAGCATGCGCTGGTATCATATATAGGCCAACCCATACCCTGCAGTTGCTAACTGAGCGATCTTATCGCACAAGACAAGATGTTTCTTGCCTGAAGTGGGAAGTGTGCTATGATGGTGGATCTCATAGGTTCCATCATATCATGCGTGGCTAGGCAATCACTATTATTTTCACTAGAATTGTGGTAAAGATTCCGTAGTTAATTTCTTTATATATATATATATCATTCATTAGAATTGCGATAAAGATCCTGCAAACTTAATATTATGGAAGGAACATTGCTCAAACTTAGCAACTCTTGCAATCGAGGATCGAGTTAATAAAGTAAGTACTGTTTTCGATGTTATATCGTGGTATGATGTTTATATTTTCTTCTTGATCTACTATTAGCGCGAGATCCAGATTTTTGCTGTAAAAGAAGTAATCTTTCAATACAAATCTAAGCATGTATTAGTAGATCATATTTCAGAAAGTGTTACCTCTACAACACCAGCTGTTAAATCATCATTTGCCGACTTTCAAGATGATTACAACGAGGAGGGGGAAAAGTTAACCAAAGAGCTTCAGGATAAGAAAGTCAAAGAAATTGAAAGTGACGAATCATTAGATGAATTCACTTTTCAAGACAGAGAATTATTTACACAAAGGTAAGAGTCTTTGTTGCCTTTGCACAAGCCCTGATTTTGTAGAATTCGCCTTACCGTCTTCTGAATATAGATTTCAGTCAATGAAGAGTTATAAAAAGTGGAAGCTCAGCACAGGAACATATGTGGAAGATGTCTTGTACAATCTAGGGAAAAAATGCAGATATCATAAGTAAGAGCCGTGATAACACTGTGGTGCACAATCAAGAATGTGATCGCTAATCAACCTAAATTTCGTTTGTTTTAGTCTTGTCCATTCCTTCATAATTGATCCTGGAGACAAGTTTGTTCAGTCTGGATTCACTTCTGATGAGATAACAGAGATTCGCGAAACAAAATCCATGTATGAATTACCAAAAATAGATGATGACTTGCTGGAATATATCGATTCTTTTGCAAAGGTAATTTGTGAATGATGCCATTCCAATCGTCTAGCATCTTTATGACAAACTAGTTCTCTTTACAGGATTCAACAAAAGATATACGCAAAGCACTTTATTCTTCACACCCTCGACTTTGCGAAAATTACAATCCTCATGTTGATTTCCCATACGAACATGTAAGAACCACAGTGTCTGATTGGTAAGTGATGAACTCTTATAGTTCATATCTTACTCCTTACTTATCAATAAATAAATATTTTTCAGGGTTCGTTTGCTAGAAATGGAGCCAAATCCGTTAACAAGTACACAAGATTTACCAGAAAGTTGGTTCCGAATAAATGTTTGGAGGACAATTGATATAGCCTTTTCGGATGTACCCTTTGTGTTTTTCGTCGGGTGAGTAAAAGAGTAACTGTTATAATATTATTCTTAAATAGATTTGCAGGCAAAAATACCCGAAATTTTCATAGTATGTAGGCTATATGGAAGTATTTAAAGTAGATATAAGCATTCATCTAGCTTAATTAAGAACCATTTAAGGGATCATTTATTACTTTATATTTTTTACATAGAGGCGAAAAAGCTGGACTAGCGACCAAAGATAGGAAAAATCGTGGCAGAACCCTTAGCAACATAGGTCCAATGCAACGGAAGTCTATAGGAAAAAAAGGAGACGGTTACGTTCGGTCGTTTGGTTGATTGGGCAGCATCCGATGCTGGATCGAAATGGGAAGGAGAACAAGGGACAAAGACTATAAAGGAATGCGGTTTATCTTTGCCAAAAGTTTTAAAAGACATATTTATTAGTCTAGCACGCAAGGTAGACTTTGACGAAGACAAGATGCGTAAAATCAACATCCCGGGATTTATTCACGCAGGTTTGTATGTATTGATACGTTTTTGGAATTGAACTTGATCGAAATTACTAACGCTCGGAATTTATGTAGGAGCTAATTTAATCAAGACTAACCTTGATTGTCCAAAAGGATATGTATGTCGATATATGAGAGAAGCACCATTGGAAATATATGCCGATGTAAAACAATTTAGCAGAACATTGGATGCTCTGGTCTCCATTATTTATGCCAAGGTAAACTTCCATTCTGATTGTTATATTTTTAACTTTAACAAGTTAAATTGATCATCATTTTTCTGTAGCTCAAAATTTTAAATACAATGGAGATAGTAAATTATACAACAAACTCATCTGATAATCTGAAGAGATGGAAAAATCCACGAAGAGCTGAAAAATTTGATATTCCTGATTGTCATTACACGCCTAAAAAAAGAAAAGTTGTCTAACACATCTGTGACGAATATATTGGATAAGAATTTGAATATATGAATACATAATTAGCATCTCCATTAAATATCTTGTACATAGTCTAGAATAAAAAATATTTTTTTTATTAATCAACAATAATTAATTAATGGATAAATCTAATTGTAACAGCCTGTTACGCGTCTTATTTGTAACAACCCCAATTTTATCCAATTAAAATTTAAGATCAGGCGTAATGTAAACAAAAACAAAAGATCAGTCGTGTAACTAAGACAAAAGAATTTTTCAAGAAACTGCTTATAACTTAAAATTTTGTCTATGAAACTGTCTTAAATACATTAAGTAAAAGTTTTCCAAATTAAATTTTGCATATAAAAATTTTATTTGTAAAACACATTAAATTTATTATTAAAAAAAAATAAAAAAAAGGATGTTACAAATAAGATATGTAACAGGCTGTTACAAATACATTTTTTCTTTTTATAATTACTTGACGAGAGACACGTTTATTAGACGAAATTTTATTTTATGAAAAGATTCTTTTGTAGTATTTTTATTATAATTACTTGTCAAAAAACAAGTCGAAATTCATTTTACAATAAAAATTTTTGTTAATGATTATGCACTGAATATAAACAATGTAAACAAAGTATAAAATTTGAATTAAAAAATAATGTTTTTTACTATTTGGCAAAATTGTGTCAATTTATATGACCAATCGGCAAAATTTACTGAACGACCTTAAAGGAACAAGTTTTCGTATAACAATCGGTATAAGTCAATTTTTCACCAAAAGACTGAATGAGTTTTTGTTTAACAATCAGTATCAGTCGATTTGTAATTGATTTTACCGATTTTTGCCATTGGTCAAAAAATGTGACGAATAACATGACCAATCAGCAAAAATTATGCCAAAAACATTTAACGGTCAAAAGTTTTGATTTTGACCAGTGTATTATTGTAAAAAAGATCTTTTTTCTTTCTATATGCTGATTCTTCATATAACAGATAATGAAAATACTTAAACTTCAATTTTTTTCTAATCTGGTATTAATCTAGCACAGCTAATCTTATAATTTGGTATGTAAAATTTTAGATAAATTTTGAATTTTTTCAATGTAATATGTATAAAAGTGGGTATAAATTCTGAAATTTTTTGGGTAAATTTCTTCAAATCTGATCATTTTCCCCCCACATTATATATAATTGTCCGGAATTCTGTTACAATTATGTAAAAAATATAATAAATTGCTCAGCATCCAATGATCGTAGAAAGATGCAACACAGCTCGTTGGAATCATCTCATTGAGACAAATCGAATGGTAGTAGTTTCATCTTTCTACAATAACTAGCTGATGAGATATTTAGCAAAACATCAAAAATCGGCATTTTAATATTTCTTGATTTATGTTTACTGCGCCGCTAAACGTTTTGGTTAATTTCTTAGCATCTAGTGATTGTAAAAATATGATCAATAGCTCTTTAGAATCGCCTAATCGAGACGAATCGAATGGTGGTAAGATCATCTTTCTAGGTGCAATAAACCGCGAATTATCTAATAATTTATCATTTTAACATTTATTTGTATAGCTTGCGATCTATCATACTTAGAAAGATAATCTTACTACTATTCGATTTGTCTCAATTAGGCGATTCTAAAGAGCTATTAATCATATTTTTACAATTACTAGATGCTAAGAAATTAAGCAAAACGTTTAGTGGCGCAGTAAACATAAATCAAGAAATATTAAAATGCCGATTTTTGATGTTTCGCTAAATATCTCATCAGCTAGTGATCATAGAAAGATGAAACTACTACCATTCGATTTGTCTCAATGAGATGATTCCAACAAGCTGTGTTGCATCTTTCTACGATCATTAGATGCTGAGCAATTTATTATATTCTTTACATAATTGTAACAGAATTCCGGACAATTATATATAATGTGGGGGAAAATGATCAGATTTAAAGAAATTTACCCCAAAAAATTTCAGAATTTATACCCACTTTTATACATATTACATTGAAAAAATTCAAAATTTATCTAAAATTTTACATACCAAATTATAAGATTAGCTGTGCTAGATTAATACCAGATTAGAAAAAAATTGAAGTTTAAGTATTTTCATTATCTGTTATATGAAGAATCAGCATATAGAAAGAAAAAAGATCTTTTTTACAATAATACACTGGTCAAAATCAAAACTTTTGACCGTTAAAAGTTTTTGGCATAATTTTTGCTGATTGGTCATGTAATTCGTCACATTTTTTGACCAATGGCAAAAATCGGTAAAATCAATTACAAATCGACTGATACTGATTGTTAAACAAAAACTCATTCAGTCTTTTGGTGAAAAATTGACTTATACCGATTGTTATACGAAAACTTGTTCCTTTAAGGTCGTTCAGTAAATTTTGCCGATTGGTCATATAAATTGACACAATTTTGCCAAATAGTAAAAAACATTATTTTTTAATTCAAATTTTATACTTTGTTTACATTGTTTATATTCAGTGCATAATCATTAACAAAAATTTTTATTGTAAAATGAATTTCGACTTGTTTTTTGACAAGTAATTATAATAAAAATACTACAAAAGAATCTTTTCATAAAATAAAATTTCGTCTAATAAACGTGTCTCTCGTCAAGTAATTATAAAAAGAAAAAATGTATTTGTAACAGCCTGTTACATATCTTATTTGTAACATCCTTTTTTTTATTTTTTTTTAATAATAAATTTAATGTGTTTTACAAATAAAATTTTTATATGCAAAATTTAATTTGGAAAACTTTTACTTAATGTATTTAAGACAGTTTCATAGACAAAATTTTAAGTTATAAGCAGTTTCTTGAAAAATTCTTTTGTCTTAGTTACATGACTGATCTTTTGTTTTTGTTTACATTACGCCTGATCTTAAATTTTAATTGGATAAAATTGGGGGTTGTTACAAATAAGATGCGTAACAGGCTGTTACAATTAGATTTATCCTTATAAAAATTAAAAAAATAAAAAAAATAATTTAGCTGATTTTTACCAAAATACTTAATTATTAACGAATTTGAAGTTTGCGATTAATTGGATTAATCGCCAAATATTCAATAGCATTACTCTGAGTAGAAATTTGATATTTTGATGGTATAAATCGACAAAGGATATTATGTACAGGAATAATACAATCGCGACTTTCATTATAAAATTCAGATTTCCACAACTCGACGTTACAGCTCTCATCTTCATTATCAATATGAAAATAATATCAACTTTCACTCATACTAGCTGGTCGATACCAACAAATATATGCCAAATTATGTTCCATTTGTCCATTTGGCAAGTCGACTGTATGTTTGAAGAAGTATTGAATTTGTCCAGGATAACTGTCGACTTCTCCATCACTAGTTATAAATTTGGCTAGAACACACGAGCTTTTTGTATGTCGAACTGACATTGCGAAGCCAAATACTTCAGAACCAATTCGGCATCTTCCAAATTGATTTATCTTTACTCGAATTGTTATAGAATCTTGGATAATTTCATCTGCTGATTTGCGAAACTTGTACATTTTGATATAAGAAGCATTATAAAAAACAACCATCAGTTCAAGCATTGATTCGGTCATTATTGCTTCAGAATTAGGCTTCAGCATTTCTTTAGAAAATGGCTCGCATCCAGTAATAGTTGATTCCTGTATGTTTTTAGCATTTAGCCAAAACTGCTCTAGTTCATCTAAAGAAAATTGGTCTGCAGCCAATATTGAACCAGTTGTGGGTTGATCTTCAAGCAATTCTAAGCCTTTTGTTTGAATGTCAGAACTAATGATATCTCCAATTTGATTATCATTCATTATCTGACGCATTATTTCCAGTTCAATTTGTTTATTACTTGTTGGCAACGAGTCTTAAAAATTATTAAAAATAAGATCAACAATGTAAACATCCGAATAAAGTAAAAAAAGTAAAAAAAAGAATATCTTACCGAGTATTCCATTCATACGCTCAAATGAAAAACACCAAAATGCATACAATGGACCAAAATCATTTGAATAATCGCACAAATGGAGCGAAAGGTGAAGATTAGGTGTAATTTTTACTCTTCCATAGTGTACTTCAATAAGCTTAATTATTTTAATTAGCCTCTCATGAGCTTCTTCCATTAATTCAATTTTTAAAATTCGGCTTACTAAAATAGAATAAACTCGAACGAAATGTGTCAAGATTTTTTGATCTTTTGACGGTAAATGTTTCCACAATAAGGTAGTTGCATAGATTATAAAGAAAATTTGCCACTAATCAGCTGTATAGTTCAAAAACCCTTTTCTGCGCTCAATATTCCAGGAATTCGTCTTAAATCAGCCAGTATTTTGAATTAATTCATTTTTTCTTGAATCTTCTTTAGATCATTCAGGGTTAAAACACCCTCATCGATCCAAATCCTCTTCATTATCCATCTCGCAATTTCTAAGAATAAGCAGTGCATTGGATCTACAATAATAAAATGAATTAGGTCAAAGTACGGCAATCAAAGTAACTCCGACCA